TAGCACACACAAGGAAAACATATTCCTGTCTTTCATATCATATGTGTAAGAAAAAGGGATGGAGAGGAGAAGCCCAGTCCATGAGTTAGAGGTGCATAAAAGTGGAATGTAGGCATTATGCTGTTCATATTTAAGGGGGAAGAGTAAAGCTGTTTTGTGTCAGGAAAGGTTTTCCAGGAGGTTGGTATTTGTAGTGTTGCGGTGGTCCCAAGGACATAGTCTTCCAGGTATGATTTGGAGTGATGCTCATCTGTTACGTGTTAAAAAAAAAAAAAAGTGTTCAAGTTGCTACACAATGTTCAAGTTTGCTATACAAATTTCTTGTAGAAATTTGATGGATGACTTTACTGCCATGATTAGTTCTGTCTCCTGTCCAGGACAGAGCTTCAAAATTGGCAGTGGACATTGTGCTAGTGACCAGGACAGCTCTGAGCAGGAAACCTCTGTATCCTGTGCAGTGTGCCTCAGAGATTCCTTCCTCTGCTGCCACTATCCGAACACACCTCCTTAAGAAAGGAGCCACAATCTGCCCTATATTTGCTTCTCTTCATTACAGACTTGGTAGTAAGGGACCACACCTTCTTACAGTCACTGCTTAAATACTACCATGCCTTTCACTACATCCACTGGAACTATGGGTGGGAGAGTAGCTTCAAGAAAGCAACTCTATTTTCAAGAACTGTGCTGATGAATTCTGTGCAGCCAGTGAACAGACTTAATAGGCTTTATGCTGAATTGAGTCCATGCTATACAGGATTTTGCATATTTAATCACTGCTGTATGACTCTATGTAGTGCAGAAATAGTCAAAAAAGTGTGTTATTATGATGCCTCTTTGTCCACTCTTCATGCCTTGAATTAAAGTGCTCAGAGTAGAAGTTCACATCTTCAAAGCACAACACCAGTTATAATATGAAAATTCCTGTGATGGAGCCATGTAATGGTATTCCCATTTTTAAAACTGGGGAATTGAAAGAGAGAGAGAAGGAAGGGTGAACTGAATTCAGAGGCCTAGGGCTTGAGAAAGATTTACATAGCATTTAGGAGTTGCTGGTCCCTATACTTGTGTTAAGCATGATGAAGCAAGCCTCTCTCTGGATATTATTTATGTAATATTATATGCATATGTATAATACAATTCCTTATGACTGTCAGTCATCTTGGAGACAGCTTGTTGAGAGCCCCACTGAGGTGCTCCCCATAGAGGTTCACCTGACTGCATCATTTCATCAGACCCTCTCTGAAACCCTTGTCACTAGTGTCAATAGAGATACTTTAAGTGAGTGCTGGAGGCAGTAGATTTTGCGTGGGACAGGATGTTGTATTTGTAATTTTTGATCATGTATTCTGAAGTGGCAAGATGAATTTGAAACGGTTATTCTTGGAAAAACTGCACTGTACAGAAAAAAAGTCATCTTAAAAAAATATAATGCCAGAAATAAAGGGTACAGCTACAGACTAACAACAGTTGAGTTGGATACACTGGAGGCAGCAATGCAATGATAATGGTTTCTGCCTGCAGCTCCTAATTTGAAAAGAACTTTATGAAATCCTTACCATGCTTCCGTTTATCCTGATCTGCCCCAGTTGGTGTTACTCTTTGAACATGTTGCTTAGCTGTTCCCATTTTTCTATGAAAGCAAGGCTTTTAAACAGAACCAGAACCTCTGACCCTCTCACCTGACACCTGCTAAAGTTATATACCATTTGACTCTCCATGTACCACTGAACACCTGAAGCTGTAAGAGGACATGTCTCCTTTGCTAGGTTGAGGTTCCAAAAAGCTTAGAAACCTGTCTTTCTCTTCCCTTGAGCCCAGAGAATACTATTTGGACAGAAATATTGAGCCTGAGATGTAAGTATATAAAAGATGAGCCTCCTTCCTCTTCTCTGTCTAGTCAAGTTGGACAATTCAGATTCTGTGTTTCCTGAAAATGTTAATTAACTCTGCAAGATGCCTGGAGAAACTAGAATGAAAAGCATGCCTAGCAGTTGGATTTCGGGCATCATGAGTCAGAACAACCAACCTGTCTTTCTTGCATCCTTAGTGTCCTTGGACAGGTTATTTAACTGCTCAGGGATTCAGTTTGGTTTCCTATATAAGGAAAACAATAAACCTCATATGCACTAAAGGAGTGTTTAAGGGTTAGTTGGTGCATACTTGTAAAAAGCCTTAAAAGGGCCTATTGAGAGACAACCTGTAATTATTGTGTGCATCATGATTACCTGAGATTGCTCCTCATGATTATCTGAGATTGCTTCTACATGTATACGTGTACATGTATGCACCCAGCTGGTTTGGTATACAGTTTGCTGAGGGCACCTGCCCAGCAGCAGATTCAAAAAGGAATTCTGAGATTTGGAGCTGAAGTCTTTTGCTAATGTTGAATTACCTGCTTCAGTGGCAGTTGACATTTACTAAGGTATTAACTTTAGGACAAGGATGGGATGATGGAGGAAAAGAAGTACTCCTCTTTGTATTTTGGTGGTTGCAGGTTCTTTCCTTTATCTACAGCTTCCTTACAGGCAAGATCTTACTAGACACCCTCACCTTGCCTTAAAAGATCAAAGGCTCCTTCATTCAAAGGAATGAGAAGATATTTTCTGCTCCACAACCCTTTTAAGCCTGTGGCTTCTCTCCAAGGGAAGGAGCTCTAATAGTGTTTCTAGCGATGTGTCTACTTGTCCACGGGAAACTAAATTGAAGCACCCCACCCCTCCAGTTTACAAACTCTGTGCTATGCATACCATATATGCAGGAGTAGGTCACTGTCAGGAGAAGCTGTGTGGAAAAGGCCAACATGAATTTTGGTAACTCAAGTTCTACAACAGATGTTTAATAGAAAGGTGTGGACTTTGTTTCAGTTCAGTGATATTACAGATCTTGAAGAAGTACAAATAAATGAAAGGTGTGGTTGAAGGTGGAGTCTTTTAGTAGGGCAGCTTCCCCCCCTCTCTGGATTTCATATGTATTTTCAACTTTCTTGCTTCTAACACCTTGAAAAGAAATGGAAGACCTCAAAGAAACACTGATTTATTTTTTAGCTGAAAATTTTAATGTTCACATGTCTATAATCAGAGAATGTCTAAGACACATATAAATGCAGGACTGGACCTTCTTATTGAAGAGTTACCTGAAATTTCTTCAGGGTTTGACCAAGAACAGAATGCTGTGTGTTCAGCTTGTGGAGTAGATAGAGGGAGCAGGAAGCTTCTGGGGTAATTATTTGGAAACTAGAGAAGACTGGGGGCTGTTTTCACTGAGTGTTTTGGAGTGGAGTATGCCAATTCATCAAAACCAATACAGTTTGCAGAATACAGTTGATTTTGAATTAATTTCCTAATTCAAATGGTTGAAGTTGTTTTTTGGAAAAGTTTTAGAACACGTAAGAACATTCCATTTTGATATTTTCTGCTTTATTTCTTTTTAAGTGGAAGTTACATAATAATTCACAAGGCGCCAGAGGTTAAAATCAAAGCAAAGCACTGTAATTGACTTAAAGACATTTCTTTAATGTATTGTCAGTTTATGCCCTTTTCTAAGACTTTTAGATTCTTGTACTCTTGTGGGAGAGGGCAAGAGATCTCCAGAGGTGAGAAAATAATTTTGCAAACAGATTTAGTAAATGAGAGATATTAAACCAAGAAGTTCTAATCATAGTTCTCTGTCTGTGCCATGTTGAAAAGTAGAAGCTTGTATAATAACCAGGACTACTGCTTCTCACAGAACCACTTAGGTTGGAAAAGACCAAAAAGACCTCTAAGATCATTAGGTTCAACCTTTGACCAATCACCACCTTGTCTAACTAGACCTTGGTACTAAAGGCCATATCCACTAACATCTTGATCACCTCTAGAGAGGGTGACTCCACCACCACCCTGGTAAGTCTGTTCCAATACTTAACAACTCCTATGAAGAAATTCTTGATGACCAACCTGACTCTCCTGTGGTGCAGCTTGAGGCCATTTCCTCTCCTCCTGTCACTGGCTGGGAGAAGAGGCTGATCCCCATCTGGCTACAATCTTCTTTCAGGGAGTTGCAGAGACTGATAAAGGTACACCTGGGACTCCTTTTCTTCAGGCTGAACAAGCCCAGCTGACTCAGCTGCTCCTCATAGCACTTATGTTCTAGACCTTTTACAGCTCCAGTGAACATGCTCTGGCACGCACCTCAATGCCTTTCTTGCAGTGAGGGGCTCAAAACTGGACACAGGATTCAAGGTGCAGCCTCAGCGTGCTGAGTACAGGGGGGACAATCACTGCCCTGGTCCTGCTGGCCACACTATTGCTGATCCAAGCCAGAATGCCACTGGGCTTCATGGGCATCTGGGCATACTGCTAGGTCATGTTCAGATCCATTATGTAGGGTTGCAGTACTGGTCATCTGAAAATTGCAACACAGGCTGATCCTTCTCTTCAGGAAGGTTAAAAGCCATTTTTAAATGGTGCCTTTTTGAATGCTTGTCTTTACATATTGGATTTTGAGCCTTTGAGTTACAAGCCCAAGGTATTCCCTGCAAACCCAAGAGTTAGAAACATTTTACCTATGAAAGCTACTGCTGCATTAATCATAAGACTCTGGAATAGAACTTTGAGGAAGAACACTACATTGTGCAAAACATTAAATCAGTCCATGGGAACAGGTAAGACCTGGTTAATGGGTTTTTGATACTGAAAGTGAGTTGAGAACTGTTGATAGCTTCTGAGAATCAAGGTAGGCACTTGACCATTCCTGTTTATTGACTGACTGACTACACAGAAGACATGTGAAAATGAATAATATTCTTCCCAATAAAGTTGTCTAGAGTGTAAAGAAAACCTGTTTCATGCAGGTTTTATTGGCTGGCCCTTTTTTGTATATGATGACAACCTATCTCCAACTGAAACAAAGTGAGGCTCTTTCGTGCTTGCCAGGATACATTTAGCTTTCCATAACTTATTCACCTGGTTTGGAAGCTAGCTTGATTATTTTTTTTCAGGAAATGTGCCTGCTTTTGCCCCACTTCATGATCAATAAACAGAAATGAAGGAAATGAGTAGCTGACACAAGATCACACACTGAACTATCTGCTCAGCTGCCTTTTGTACTGTAGACCAGTCTGACTTATGGTAAGGCAAATGAGGATCAGCAGTACTTATCTTCTTTTTCCTCTCTTTCCTTATTCCTCACATGCAAATTAGTCCCCCCCATAGTCAGATTCAATGTTTTATACAAAAGGCACCAGTATGGACATATCAATTCATGGGATGTCTCCTGTCTTTGTGCTTGGCTGGCTTCCAAATTCAAATGAATGAATGAGGTAGAACTGGATTGGAGACTATATGAGTGACAGAGAATTGGTCATAGGGAGATCACAAGTGGGCAGAGAGCAACTGTCTTCTGCTAAATCTTTAATGAATCAACAAATGATGCTACATCTCTATCACAGGGTCTGGGCTCACTAAAGCTTCTCAGTCAGAGAAGTAAAGCCTTTAGATATGCTTGGCAGGACAGAGGGGGACCCTGGGAACACTCTGAAGACAGCCTTTTCCCTCTTTTACAGTTGTATCTGAAGACAAATGATAAATGTACTGTTCCTGCTGACAAGGTTCTCTTAAAAACATATACTTCATTGTGTGCAACTTAGTTTTCAGAGTGGCTGTTAAGGATTAGGCTCGTTGTGGGGACTGGGGTGGGGAGCTGCTGTTGATGTAGAGTGAACAGTACTCCTGTGCCTTTCAGAGGGGCAATTTGGACCTCCTCCCTTGGTGCTTTTGTAGCATGCTGTTGGCATGGCACTTGCCTGGCTGCTGCTCTCCTAGCCTGATCCCTGCTCCTTCAGGTAGGTCATCATTTCAGCTACTGTTTTCTGTTGGGCAGATCAAACAGTATCCAGTTTTATCTGCCAAGCTTTACCTGCTGTCATGAAAATCAATTCTCCCATCCCTGTGTGAGATAGACTATTCCCTTGTGAAATGCCTCATGTCTTCCTCCTTCAAACTCTTATTTTAACTTGTTTATGGTTTGTCCAGGTAGCTTCTTATATGGCTACATGTGGTTTATACAGCTGGGAAAGAACCCTCCCAAACCTGCAGCTTACATACTTCTTTCTCCGCCTCCTCTTCCTTCTCTCCTCCCTGCCCCCCACACCGGAAAAAAATATTCAACTAATCAACGGTTGTATCTATTAAAATATTAGTCTGTGGGATACTACATGCAAGAGCAAATCCTACAGAAACCTCTTGCACCTGCAGGGGAAATGTTCCATATATGGCATCGAGGCTGGCAGAGACTTGATTCGGAATAAAATTTAAATGATTCTGGTCGTTTTGCCACATCCTGTTTCTCTCACTTATGCATGTACTATTTTGATAACCAGCAAATACTTCTCAGTTCGCTGGAGCTAAAGATAGCCTTGAATTGTAGCACTACTACCCTGCTCCTTTAGAAGTGCTCAGGCTCTCTCCCCTTGGGGCCAGCCTCAAAACCTGAGGTGAGACTAGGTTTCCTTTCTGACATTTCTTTAGGTTTAGCATGATTTCATAACGGCTTTTGAAGTGTTTCAGAGTAACCAAACAGGAGGAGCTGCAGAGTTTCAATTTCTGGTTACTCAAATGACCAGTGCCATCTCTTTGTATTATGTGATCCTTTGTTTTGTGTGAGATATGAAGTAGACGAAGAAAAGCAGTTGGTATGCTTCAATTTCCTGGCTCTGCCTGGGGGCCTTCCCGTGTTAACTCTGTTTCTAGGATTAGGGCTTTTTTGGCATGTGAACCGTTATCTAGATCCCTCGGCTGCAACTTAGAGTTTACTTTGATCTGATAATATGTGTTAATAGTGCAAATGCTTTGTATAGAGCTTTGACTTGGACTAGTGTTTTCCTAATGAAGAAAATATAGCATCTGTCCTGTGAAGACAGACTGAGTAGGATTTGTTCACTATTGAGAAGAGAAGGCTCCAAGGAGACCTTGCAGCACCTTCCAGTGCCTAAAATGACTTACAAGAAGGCTGGAAAGGGACTTTTTATGAGGGCATGTAGTGATAGGTCAAAGGGGAATGGCTATAAACTGAAAGAAAGTAGAATTAGATTGGATAAATTAGGTAAAAATCTTTATTGTGTGGGTGGTGAAGCACTGAACAGGTTACCCAGAGGAGCTGTGGGTGCCCCGTTCCTGCAAGTATACGAGGCCAAGCTGGATGGAGCTCTGAGCAACTTGGTCTAGTGGAAGGTGTCTGCCCATGCAGGAGGAGTTGGAATGAGATAATCCTTCCAATCTAACCCATTTGATGATTTTATGAAATGAGGAGGAAGACTACAAATCCAGTTGAATAACTGTCAGGGATTAAAATGGAAAATTGGCTTAATAGTGCTCCACTGCTGGAAAATCCCAGTCTGGGCTCCAGAGCAGTTTGTGTGCACACTCAGATGCTTACCTGTGCTGTTGCATTCAGCCCCAGTGGATACAGGCCTTCTCTTGAGGCTGAGATCTAGTTACAATTAATATTTTGTTACTCTCAAGTTTGAAGAATGACTAGACTGGGGTTTTATGCAGGTCTGTTACATATTTTGAAAACAAAGTTCTTTCTAACATATGATGCTTTCTAGGCCTTTCACATAACCTATGTTAAAATGACTCAGACTTTGGTATATGCATGCTTTTGTTCTTCCCAAGAGAAATGGAGATGTATATTTTAACTAGATATTCAGAGAAGATTTTCATAGGACAAAAGTGATAAGGAGTTCCTGCTACAGGCTTATAGGTTCTTCATGCTTCTTTTCCTTGGTGTATCAGGAGATGCTAGCCATCCTGATGCACTGTAGCTATTTAAATAGCACACAAAATCCTTGGCAGTGCAGTGTCTGACAGCGCAGAATGCTGCAGCTCCCATGTGGCAGCTGGGAGCCCAGCATAGAGTACATTTGCCATTACCACCAGTCATTTGCTATTTGTAGGTGATCTGGAATGAGGATGAAGTCAGTGAGACTGTTCAGGTAAGCAAGTCCAGTATTTTGGGGTGCCTTGGTCTCATCAGCAATCCTGGAACTACTCCGCTAAGTGAGACTAATAACATTTGGCTGTGTGTGTGGAGAGTTGTGTTCTTTCCATTAAACAAAATGTGACCTCTACAAGTTCTCCTTTTCTGGTGTAAACACAATGTCTACACCAACTGGGGAACCTCTGTACTAGTGCTGCTGATTCCAAATAAAGTAATAGTGACAAGACCCTTCCCTGGAATTTACTCTGTTAAATTCATAATGCAGCAATGCAAGAAAATGAACTCATGGACCAGATCCTTACAAGTGTTGTAAATCTTGGTCACCTTATGGACTTTGCTGGAAGTGCTCCAGAGTACACAAGGAAATGAATGGGATCATTCTCCTTTATTCCCTATCATGACCATCACCATGCATATTTTATTTTACTTTTAGTATTTTTATGTGGTTGATGCTTCCTGTCCAAAGCAGGAAAGTTGGAACTAAGTGATTCTTAAGGTGCCTTCCAACCCAAACCATTCTGTGATTCTAAAAAATATTTGCTTGCCTATTTTTTCCTCAGCACTGCTGCTGATGTTCTATGAGCAGTTGTGCAGGGTAGAGATGCAGTTTGTTACCAAGTTTCAGATTCTGTTGCCCAACCCTTCCCGTTTCTCCTCCTTCTCTGCTTTGTGGAGCAGATGGTGCTAATTCCCATGGTGGCTTTTGATACAGCTGAAGTCTCTTCCCTGATGCCTCTACTGTACCTGTGGTATTTTTGGAGAAGAGAACACACAGTTGATTATTATTTTTTGTTTATGATTTTTAGGATCCAAATTCAAAAAAGGATTACATTTCTTTTCGCTATGCTCTTTCTCTTCCCCTTCCAACTTGTCCCAAAGATCTGTGGTCTGAAATTCTCTGCAACCTGGAGAATATTGCTTTTCAATACTGTTGTAAGTTAAATTACTTTTGCATTCCTACAGACATCTATCCACCCACTGCATGTTTACCTATGTAAACATCCTTCATGTTGATTGTACTTATATTTTTTTAAAGCAGAAATGCTGACTCTTTCATGTAACAAAGGTCATTCTATTGCTTTCTGTTTCAATTAAGAGGCTGAAGTGCCAGTAATTGCCATTTTTAATTAGCCCATTCTTTGGTGCCCCTTTTCTCATCCTTTGGGCCTCCCTCTCTCTTGTATTATACAAGAACAACAGGATGATGGTTAAAACACATCTTCCTCTCCCCTGGGCTGCCAGTGTCTCCTGCCCACACCTGGCAGACCCCCTGTTATGTTTTTTGACTGCTCCAACTCTAGCACCACATCCCTGTCTTCAATACAGTTCATTGCTCTCTCCTGACCTTTCTGATTCTTTTCAACTATATATTTTTCTCTTTGCAGTTAAGTCAGTGGCTTTATATAGGTGAAATCAGGAATAGAATTTCACCTCCTGTAAGTGAACGCTTTATTTATTGTGCCAGCTTTTTCTCCTAATTCAGCTTGCTGAGTTGCTCCAGCATTCTCCTGCCATAAATGTCTCTATGCATTTTCGTGTATCATATAACGATGTCTCTTCAACCCTGTGCATTGTGCTGCTCAACTTTCCTCCAAACCATTCACAAAATCCACTCCTTTTAGGCTAGCCTGCCTTTGCTGCTCTGCTCCCCAGGCTTTTATGCCACATATGAAGCCAAATCCTGATGCTACTGATTTGAAATTTTGCCATTTGCTTTGCTGAGATGAAGACTGAGTTCACTGTCTGCAGATTTAAATATTATGAATGGGGGGAAGTGGGGAGTGAAATGACAGGAGAAAAAGAATCATTAAGTTCATTACGCCTGCTGAACAGATCCTGTAAGCTCTTGCTGTTGAGGCATGTCTCCTCCTATGCTGCTGGTTTTTGTCACCTTGGCTGTGCTATGCTTAATTTAGATTGTAAATTCCTCACATTAGACTCTTTCTGTTTCATTTGTCCTTAATGCGGCATGCCCACCAATGGAACTGTGCAAATGTAGTAACTCAAGGAGAAGATGTAGTCTTCTGAAAATTTTACCCAGTTTAAGCAATTTTCAAAAAATAATCATAAATAAATCACCTTTTCATAGTACCAAACAGGAAATCTCTGGGCAGTGGTCAGGATCTCAGTGGAAAGTCTAGCTTCACTGTGTGACGGTGTAATGACCACAGTAAGGTACAGAACAGAAGCCTGTGAAGGAACATTTTGTTCATCACCTTTGTATCTGCGCCAGGCTAAGGGATAAAAATCCTTAAAATTCTTTGTATGGGCAGATGTAGTTTTCCTTTGAAAATATGTACACAGGACTAACATCAGTGTTGCCTCCAGTAAGTGTTCTCCGTGGTTCTGTGTTATTTGAGAGGACAAATAGCGATCCTGTGCTTTTCCTTACAGTACTATGCAGTTTCCTGTATCCTGTCTCAGGTGAATCCTCAAAGGCCTGAGCTATCCCAGTGACATAATGCTTTAGAGTAGCTGTGGTTTTGTGGAGAGCAGTGGGTTTGGCTCAGGCCATCCTAATGATGTACTGAGTGGTGGTTATGGCTGAAATGAAAGAGGCAAGAATTGCTCTGTACAACCAGAGCTCAGAGTGGAGGTGGGGAGCAGAGCAGGCTGTTTCTGGGGAGCTGCATGACTCTGCTTTTCACCCCCTTGTTCATTAGTAAGTGGCCTATGCCCTTTGGGGTTACAGAGCAATGTATTCCAGTTACATCAAACTCTGATACTGCCTGATACCAATGGCACAATGGATTCAACTTTTATTTTGCAGCTATCACAAGCTAATTTAATTCTTGCTGAAGTCATTGCCTAAACAAAGCCAACATTCCTCTCTGATACATGTGAGATTACTTCCCCCCCTTCTTTTTCTTTGTCTGCTTAAGGTTCATTTTAAAACACCAAAGACCTGATTCTTGTGTTGTTCCTGGATTTCACTGGTTTAATTCCTACAACTTGCACAGTTCTTTTGGTTTAGAGAGGTGATAAAAGAAAACCAAAGTCCCTTTCATGTTATGTGACAAGCCAGTGGTGGCATGGTGCACTGGGATAGAGCTGCTTCAGCTAGCAGTGAAGGTCTGTCTGTCTTGCTGCATCTGTTGCTTTGATATTTGAACAGGACTCTTCTGAGCCAGTCTCTGTCACTCCTTAATTAGCCTGTCACTCTAGGGAGGAAAGAAAAAACTCAACAAAAAAGTCGGAGACAGGATTCTAATGTGGCTTTACTGAATGACAGGGCACAGCACAAGGCTGGCCAAAGAAATATATATTTAAACAAATTATTTCACATTTACACATCAGCCCCTGAGTGAGTGTCTTGCATAATCTAAGATGGAATTTTGGGAAGCAGTTTCCAGCAGGAATCTCAGTATATCTCTTGTAAGCACAAAGGTACTCATGAGAATAGTGGGGAAGGGAAGTCAGGGATCTGTAGCTGGAAGACCCTGTGCCACAGGCTGTCCTGAAGGATACTGGTGAAAGTACTGGATGACTGGTTGGGAATTTCTGTCTCCACGTGATGGGCTCATGTTCACCTGAGAAACAGCTTCACTCACTGTCCCTGGGATTTGCACTGGAACAAAATACATCACAGGAGTAAGTAAAAATTTTCATCTGGAATTCCTGCTGTGTGAGAGACCAGAGCTTAGCAAGAGCCAGTCACAAGCTCCAGAGCATGTTTGAGCCAAGGATAAGAATGGCCATTGAGGGAATTAAAGCAAATGCAGAACACAGGCTTGGTTATTGTTTCAGTCACTTCTAAACAGTGAGTGGTCCATCAATTTAATTCTTATGAACAGGTGTTGCTTTCTTTGCAAGAGGCAAGAGTTCAAGTTCTCAAATATATAGCTCAATTAGAGTGCTCTCACCTAGTATTTTTAGCTAATACAACAAGTGTAACTCTGATATACTGCAAAGCAAGTGTTGAAGTCTTAACATGTACCTTGATTTTCTTCCTAAGGTCAACTGCCACTTTAATTTCTCCACAACCCTGTTTTTTTCCTGCTAGAAAATATGCTTAGCAGTTACATGGTATGAAATCTCCATTTTTTGTTCCTGTAACATGGTATTTTCTCCAAACAATATTTAACCAGGGAGTTCATCTTTGGTACAACTCTTACTTCAGTGGAAACATATCAGAAATAAATTTTATCTCTAGAAACAAATTAATGGATCAAAGATTTATCATTAGAATATCTTGTACTCTGTGACCCTGTAAATGCTTTCCACATCAGAGGCAAGGCCTTCTTTAGGACAAATGAGACAAAACACTTTACTACAGGTTTGTTGTTGCCATGTAGACTTGTTTCTTTCCACATTTAAATAGATTTGACTGAAGTTAGTTCTGGATTTTTGTTGCTGGATTTGCAGATCTCTTGAGTTAAATCTTCTTCTTGATGAGCTTGTCTAATATTGTCATCAGGAATGGAAGCTTTCCTACAGGCTACCCTGCTAATCTACCATTACTAGGCCTTGAATATGTGAGATAACTGGATTCTTCTTATTATTTCAGCTAGAAAATAAATTGCTAAACAGGTAATTTAACGTAAATCAATGTATTACTTATCTAAAGCAAAATAAAATCATATAGAAAGACACTGTGTTAAACACATACATGTTTTAACCAATGCATTTAGTCCAGAAATAGACACCTTTGATGAGTGATGTTGCAATTATAAGCAACTTGTGACTTCCATACTTCCAGAAATTGCTGCTGCCACAGCCTCCTAGCAGAGCAGTTTGTGTGCTTTCATTTCAGGTGACATCAACTGGTCTAGTTCTGGCCACCACTTTACACTATTCAACCTAATCCAGTTTCTTTTGCTCAATGAAAATTGGAAACCTTCTTCAACAAAACTGGGTCAGTAACCTCTGGTATAGTGGTACCATCACCATTGCAGCTGATGCTAGATGAGGACTTTTATGCCCAGCAGAAATTGGTACAATCTCTTTAGGTAACTTGCTTTTTGACGCATATGGTCCTGAAGAAATAGGCTTACTGTAGTACAGGTGCTGATGCTATTGTAATCTGACTGCTACTGATGGAATTTTGATTCCCAAGACACTGTGTGAGGATGCAAGTTTCATTAAATTCTCTCAATGTATTTCTTTGTGGTTTCCCCTCCTCCTCTTTATTAAAAAGTGTGGCTGAAAAACTTGAATTTTTTTAGTCTTCACTACACATTTAAATGGCTCAGAACTGGGGCTTTTCATGCTTCACAAGGATGCTATTAGCTGCCAGTAACTTTTTCGTTAATGGATCTTCCTAGTTAACTATGAACCACATAGAGAAAAATATGGTGGTCAAGGTGTCTGTTGACCTACACCAGTTGATGGTACTTTGGCATCTGATAGATAAGTACAACTCGGGGTTCACTTCTCACTTGTCCCATTAGTATAAAGGGCAAAAGTTAAGTACACTAGGCAGAGGCAGTTGTGCAAATTCTCATTTTTGTACTGTACATCAGGGAGCCTGAGTTAGGAATAGAAAAATAAATTTAGATTTAATAAGAAGAAAATGGAAGCTTTACTAGAATTGAAGCATCTTGGATGACAGATTTCTTAAAAGTAAAAAATACTTCCTCCATTGCTTTTACATTCCTGCTTGCAAAAAGGAGTAGCCAAAGAATAGGCAAAATAGTGTGAAAGTGTTCTTGAGGGATAGTGAGCCTGCAGGAAAAGCAGATGTTTCTGCTCTCACAGAGTGGGGCTGTGCTCAAGTGGAATCTTAGCTCAAAATAGGCAGTGCCAGACCAGGCAGTTTGTGTCCAAATCACAACTGAAATAATTTGCTAGTGCGATTCCAAGGTGGCTGGCTAGAAAGCTGCAGTAAAACCTCCCAAAGCAGTAAGTTAGACCTGAAACAATCAGCCAGGTTTGTGTGCCTGCCTCAAATTGCTGGTGTGTAAGAGAAGGCAGTTTATTTTAGTTCACAGAGTTATCTATAGGCTAAACATTTACTTATTAATTTCCTATATAGGGTTTATTCAAGTACAACTATATGTACATTATAAAATATTTATAAGGGTAGTTACAACATGGAAATATGGTGTCTGTTTCTGGCTGTACAAATTTTGGAGGAAGAAAATGGAAAAATACTCTGAACTGGAGGCATTAAAAGGGACTGCTAGCATGAAATTCAGAGTCAGAAGACTCAGGCATTAGATTTGCCTTCTAGTTGTTTGAAACTATTTATTTTCCTCATCTCTGTATTAAAGTTGTGGAAAATGGCTATATCCAGATTTAAGCAAATAATTTTCAAAACTGCAGTGTAAGCAAACAGAGGTGTGTTAGCTTTTCTTTTCCTAGTGTCTTCTAGTGTACAGTGACCTTCAGCATGACTTCTGTTAACAGGAGGTTAAAAGCCTTTTGATAGGAATATGAACTTTGAAGTTGATTGTATTCCTATTACTGGAAGCTTTGTTACAAGAGATTTCCACCC